ATCTACACTTTCACTTTCAGCCAGAAGGAGGAGATGGAAAAAGCATGGAAGGGAAGGCCTTGGGCGATCAATGGTTCCATGTTACAGCTGAAGGAATGGGATGGGTCTGTCAATCCCCAAGAAATCAATTTCAATGTTGCTGATTTCTGGATTCAAATCCATGGAATACCGGACCACAGACGCACCGTCTCAAATGTGCAATCAGCTGCTGCAATGTTCAGAAAGATCCATATGATTGACATGAAGGGGCTTGACCCAACAATCTATAGAGAGTTCATCCGAGTCTTTGTTGAAGTTGATTTGGAACGTCCTCTTCCTCCAGGAAGCTACTACAATGCTAATGGGAGTAGACAATGGCTGGGATTTAGATATGAGAAACTCTATTCCCTCTGCTACTACTGTGGACTCCATGGCCATAGTGTGCAGGAGTGTAAAAAGAAGAAGGAGGATCTGGAGCAAAGGAGACCAGGGCCACCAGAAGGAAGATTTACAGCATGGATGAAGGCCGGCACAAATGCACCGCGGCCACCGCCGCCGCCCAGGGGAAGGGTGCTTCATCAATCGCCGGGAGATGCTGGATCTGGCACGAACTCACCGGGTTTTGTCCAGAATCAGAGATGGGTGGCAGGATTGGAGTCTCCGGCGACGGCAAGCTTCAATCCGGCGACGGCAACAACCCCATCCCCCCAACGGTCAAACGAAGCATGGCTTGGATTCCAAGGTCCCCCGGGATATACGCCACATCCGTTCCCAACGGATCCAAGAGGGAGTGCCCAAACTCTGACACCACTGTACCATACTCCAACATCCTATCCCCCCCAGAACCTAGTCTTATATGGTCCCCCAAGTGCAGCTGCCACACATCCCATGAATGATCGCAGAATATACAGGGATGTTCCCCGCAACTTGTCGGAGCAGATGGAGGAGGCGGCTAGGTTTCTTCCATCATCCCAAGAGCTTACTGCACAGATGATGGGCCAAAGTGGTCAAGCCCACATGACCAATCAGTTTCTTCCTTACATGGGCTTGACTCAGCCACATGTGGGCCTTAATGAAGGTGGAAACAGTTCCTTTTTTCTACAACAGAACCAGGAGGGCGGCCCGTCTCACTCCCATAGGCCCATTTCCAACAAAATTGTTTCTGAAGCCAACAACAGTTCAAAGGAGGTGGACATTAACCAGGTTATTGTGCAATTGGGAGAAACAGGTTTGAAGACAATGGAGCACCCCTGCTCACCACAGAAAAAGAAAAGGAAGCAAGGGAAGGAACTGGATTTCGAAGGCCCCTACTTCTCCCATGGGGGAAGCTCGGCACCAACGCAAAGCCCCAAGAGCAGAGCTATAATTAGGAAAAGCAAGACAAAACCAACTGGGAAGATGGAGAAAGAATCACAGCCCGAGAAGCAGCAAGAGTGGGATGAGGAAAAGAAAAATTCTGAAGTGCAGGTGGCCAACTATAAGCCACCACAGGAACCATGAGCGGCTTATGTTGGAACTGCCGGGGGATTGGGCCCCCTCGGACAGAGATGCAGCTAGAGAAGATGATTAAGAAGTTTAAGCCCTCTTTTGTGTTTCTGATGGAAACAAAAAACAACGAAGATACCGTGAAGCAACTGCAACTACGCAACAAGTTTCCTGAAAGTTGCTATGTCAATCCGGAGAGGACAGCTGGTGGTTTGGCTCTATGGTGGGCAGCTGATTTCCCTCTTCAAGTTTTGGACAGAGGACGACATTTTATTGATGTTTTTGTTAATTATGGGTGTGGGTTTTTCATGACCTTTGTCCACGCTCCCTCAGTTGCTAATGAGAGGAGAGCGTTTTGGGGTAGGATTTCCAGATTTCGTAATGTTCCTAATGTACCATGGGTTGTGTTAGGCGATATGAATGCAATGATTTATGACTATGAGAAGAGTGGTGGCGGCCCTTTGCGACGCGAATCAGTTGAACCATTCAAATCTTTCATCTTCGACAATGGACTCATAGACATGGGATTCAAAGGTCCTCAGTTTACTTGGTCTAATAGAAGAAGAGGTGATCGGAATATCAAAGGGAGGCTGGACAAAGCACTATGTACTCCTGAATGGAGAGAAAACTTTGGGGAAGCTACCATCTATCATGAGAGTTACATTGGCTCGGACCATAGAGCTGTGAGGATTGAATTACACTCACGAGGAAATTGGAATAAGCCACCCTTTCGGTTTGACTCTCGCTGGATCGGTAAGGATGAATGTGACGCCATTGTTCTTGCAGCTTGGGCTGCGGAGGGAAACATAGAACAAAGACAGAAGAGATGTGCTGGTGAGCTCAAAGACTGGGCAAGAAGGATGATTCAGGATCAACAAAAACGTGAAACAGAAATCAAAGACAAGTTGGAGGCCCTAGAGAATCTGATTAGAACTGAAGAAACAGAAGAAGAGGAGAGGATCTTATTGGAGGAACTGGACTCTCTTTGGAGGGATGAAGAGAAAATGTGGAGGCAGAGGTCCAGGATTCAGTGGCTTGCAGAAGGGGATCGGAACACTAAATTCTTTCACTCTACCACTGTTTTGCGTCGACATTTTAACCGGATTGTGGGGTTGAAGAATGAAAGGGGTACATGGATCAAGCGACCACTTGACCTTGCTAACCACATTAAGGGTTTCTATCAAAATCTATTCACTGGCAGAGGCATGGATTTTGATGGACACCTCCTGCAAGGCTTCCCACAACTTGTTTCTCAGGAAATGAATGATATCTTGTGCAGACCGGTTACAAATGGGGAGATTAAACAAGCTGTGTTCTCCCTTGGACCTCACAAATCACCAGGTCCAGACGGTTTTTCAGGACAATTCTATAGGAACTATTGGGGATCAATTGAGGAAAATTTTTGTGAAGAGGTCAAATCTTTCTTCATGGAGTCCTCTCTCCCATCGGGTTGGAATGATACTCATATCGCTCTTATTCCAAAAATCTCATCTCCAGAGATGATTAGCCAATTTCGGCCGATAAGTTGCTGCAATTTCAAGTATAAGGTGATTTCCAAGATCATGGCAAGCAGGCTGAAACCATTTTTACCGGAGCTTGTTTCAGAAATGCAGGCTGCATTTACTGGAGGTCGAGTGATTCAGGATAACATCATCATTGTTCATGAGGTCTTGCACCATCTCAAAAATCGCCGCCAGGGTAGAAAGTACGACATGATGCTGAAAATGGATATGCGGAAGGCTTATGACTTGGTGGACTGGGAGTGCCTCACTTCCCTCCTTCAAGCGTATGGCTTTAATCAAACATGGTGTGAATGGATTATGGAATGTGTCAGAACTGTGAGGTTTTCCATCCTCATAAATGGAGGTCCAACGGAGTTCTTCACACCCTCGAGGGGTATCCGCCAAGGTGATCCTATCTCCCCCTTTCTCTTCATCCTTATGGCTAATGCTTTGTCTTTTTTGTTGGATAAAGAAACTTCGCAGGGAGCGATTCATGGCCTGAAACTAAAGCCGAGCTGCCCAAGGCTTTCCCATTGCTTATTTGCCGACGATACAGTCATCTTTGGGGAGGCTTCAGTGGAGGAGGCAGCTAAGATTATGAGCATAATCAATGGATACAGTCATATTACCGGGCAAGAGGTGAACTTGGAGAAGTCCTCGGTCTTTTTCAGCAAGAACACTCCGGATTCTTTGAGAACCCAGATCGCTGCCCATATTGGATTTCCGCCGACTATTACTCATGACAAATATTTAGGGGTTCCGACGGAGTGGGGACGGTCCAAGAAAGAGACTTTCAGCTTCCTCATCAGTCGAATGGAGAAGAGAGGAGAATCTTGGAAGAGCTTGTTGTTGTCTCAGGGGGGGAAGGAGACTCTGCTCAAGTCAGTCATACAAGCAATCCCCACCTTCATTATGAGTGTCTTCCTGCTACCATTGTGTCTGACTAGGAAGATGGACTCTCTGGTGCGTAATTTCTTTTGGTCTGGGAAGATGCATAAGAAGGGCCTCCATTGGTGTAAGGGCCAAATCCTTTGCGATCCTAAAGCAGATGGTGGCCTGGGATTTCGCAATTTCCATATCTTCAATTTAGCTCTTATTGCTAAGCAAGGATGGAGGTTGTTGAATGAGCCAGAATCTCTGTGGGCACGTCTACTTCGAGGATTGTATTTCAACAATGGCGATTTCCGCTCGGCGAGGAAAGGGAGCTCTCCGTCATGGATTTGGGCAAGTCTTTGTGATGCACGTCAAGCCCTCGACATCGGCTTAATTCGGGTGATTGGAGATGGAGACGGAACGTGGATTAATAGGGATCCTTGGATTCCAAACCTGGATGACCACTGCCTTTCTACTGCTGTTGACCCTTCTCTTAGAGTCAGTGATTGGATTAATGTTGAGGAGCGACGATGGAACTTGGACCTAATCCAACAACAGTGCTCTCCCCAGGAAGTTGATGCTATTTCTCGAGTTCCTATTGGCCCTCTCAATACGAATGATAAATGGGCATGGCGGCCTACTTCCAATGGTGCCTTCTCAGTAAGAACAGCATATCATGGTCTTCGTGCACATTTGCGAGAGGCCGACCCAGCTCTAGTGGACCTCAATATACCGACAAGTGACGAGGTGTGGAAATGGCTTTGGGCGATCAATTTACCCCCAAAGATCCGCTTTTTCCTTTGGAGGTGCATTCGAGGAGCGCTTGCTACCAAAGAAAAGCTGCATAACCGGAGATGCTCCCCCGATAAGAAATGCCAGATTTGCGGAGCTCAGGTTGAATCAGCTATCCATTGCCTCTTTGTTTGCCCCCATGCAGCGGCGACTTGGGAAATCGTCTCTCCATCTACTTCCCCTCCTCCTAACTTGGCTAATTGGATCTGTGGCCTGCGAGAGGAACCAGATCTTGCGATCACAAGGAGAAAGGTTTTCTGTCTGTGGAATATTTGGAAGGCCCGAAATAACTTCATCTTTCGGAGTGAGACAGTGTCCCCGATGTCCTCCTCCTTTCAAGCTTTTCGAGAGGCAGCTGAGCCTCAGACGATGATCACTTCCTCGTCTCCCGTTTCACAGCCTAGGGACGATCATCAACAACCGTGTCCACCGCCAACAACACTCACGAGAAGGATTTATTGTGATGGTTCTTTCGATCCTATTTCAAGAGAGGCGGCTTATGGGGTGGTTATTACTAACCCTCATGGACAGTTTGTGGATGGTAAGGCTGGACGGGTTGTTTGTTCATCCCCTATAGAGACTGAAGCCTATGCTTTGTTGGAAGCATGCAAGTTGGCGATGAGAGAGCATGTCCCATCAACTATATTTTCAGATTGTAAAGCTCTAGTGGATGCTCTGAAGAACCACTCGGATTTGTGGCCCTGGAATTGCTACGCTATCCTCTCCTCCATTCAACGTATTATCCAGGTGTCCAATTGGATCAACATTGCCTTCACTTGCCGACGGAACAACAAAGAAGCAGACTGGATTGCCCGAAATGCTAGATTAAACACCCTCCACCAGGACTGGCTTGTTGTCCTTAATATCATCTCTGCTTTCCTGTAATTGTACCAATCTCTAAGGGAATGAATGAATGAATGTTTTCTTCAAAAAAAAAGGTATATTGGTATGAGCATTATGCATGCCTGTGGTTGTGAGAGGAAACAGCAACTCAACCACCATGTTGCGGCCAAGAAAGAGAGCGAGGAAAGAAAGAAATAGAAGATTTTTTTTTTTTTTTACAGTAAAAGAAGTAGAATTTGAGTATGCTTATCTATCTAAGTCAAGGTTGTTAAACCCCTATCGAACCTCCGATTGGACCCGGTCCGATTCGAATCGAGCTTTAAAACGGCTTCTAGAAAGTCCCCCGATCTGACCCCTAAAGAGGGAGAAGAAGAGAGGGGGAAGAGAGGAAGAGGAACGAAGGAATAGAGTGGTGGCGTGGGTGGGTTATGGAGGTTAGTTAGATTTATTTTATGGAAAATAAGTTTTTAGTAGATATATGTAAGATAAGTTTTATTTCAGTCATTAAATCTTTAATTACTATCTTATTTGTATATATATTTAGAAAATATCTAAAACGGCTCAAATCGTCCGGACCCCGATCAGACCATTAAACCTCAAACTCCCTGCTTCACCGACCCAATGACTTATGGTTTGACAACCTTCATCTAAGTATGAGATCTAGTTTCCAGTATGTACTTCTTTTGTACTAAATATTTAGCGAGTAATTATTTAAAAGTTTACTAATGTGAAATTTATGAGTAATCTAATATAAAATGCTGGACAAATGCCACCGAGCTTTGTTTTCTTTTGGTTTGTACGCGTTTCACATAGGGGCATGGCGAGGACTTTGTTGGAGATGAATCCATTTAAGAAAAAAATAGTTCTTAATCATTTTTAATTAGTTACGATATAAATTTATATTTGAAAAACCTTGTTAAAATTAGAGTATATAGGTATTCGAAAATAATACTCTATGTACCAAACAATAATTCATGATTTAGTTAGTCATTCGTTTTTCAAATGATGTTCTTTTCCAAGAACCATTTAGTACAACAACTTGAGTTGTTGTCGATAGGTTCATAATGTATCCATTTATTAACTCACTCTCTCAAACGGAAGCCAACTAATATGAGTTTGGAGTTTGCATAAATCTGAACATCATGTACTTAACAAATGGGGTCGCCAAGATTGAAACAAAAAACCTCTTGGTCAACTATTCTCAATTATATGCGTCCCAAACTTCAATCTCAACAACTATTATACCTAATTTACTCATTTCCTCTTGAGGATCATAGTGTTAAGTTCTCTCGTTCTCCCCTGGTTGGAATACAACTTTTTTACAAGTTGCGACCTAGTGGAATTTCTTTTGTTGATTTTGATTATGTACACCATTGATTCTGAGTAAATGACATGCACCATTATTGTTCATACATAAAATATTTGTAAGGGCAATCATTTTTATTTACACACCGTAAATTTAATTATCAATTAACTATTATATCTTATTTAATATCTCTTTCTCGAGATCCTCTGCCCCTGGTTCCAAATCGAGCAACTACGATTTGTGCCATTATTTAGCAATCTGTTAAACAATCGAAACTTATATGCTATCAAAAAATTATATAATAAAAATATACATGATTTATGTGATATCCTCGACGTATAATCGTCGAGACTAATCCACAACACGAAAGCGATTTAGGTTTACAAATATATACACTTACTTCCCAAACCCTAGCCGGGAGGGAGGGAGATGACTCGACAATAGGTTACTCCTAACAAGGCCTACGCAAGCTACATAAATACGTACATAGATACATGCATTCATGGGCTCAAAACCCATAACTCAACAACCTCCACAAATTGATGGAGGTCTTGCATCACCAATTTGCCAGTGAGATAGGAATGACGACTAACAAAGAAGGACTTAGTTAGGAGATCTGCAATATGGTCCTCAGAAGTAATGTAAAAGACTCGAACGATTCCATCACGAATAAGGTCTAGAATATAATGGATGTGTACCTCAATGTGTTTAGTGCGATGATGAAGAACAAGATTGGTAGAAATCTTAAAATCACTAGTGTTATCCACATATAACTGCATGTGCACCACACAGACAACGCCAAGATCATCGAGTAACTATTGCAACCACTCAAGTTCTGAGGTAACATCAGACATAACACGATACTTAGCTTTAGTAGAAGATTTCGATATGCGATCATGTTTCTTACACGCCAAGAAATCAAAGAATCTCCCAACCGGACACACCACGCACTCGTGGAACGATATGTATCCACACAACCAGGGTCCGAGAAAGCCCGAAGCATGAAAGCACTAGTAAGGGAAAAGAAAGAGACCAACTATATAAGTCCCATGTAGATGACGTAGAATTCGATGAAAAACATCAACATAGTGAAAATCTGAAGAATATAAGTGATATCTTGGTGCGTCATAGTCAAATAAATCATTACGCGCCAAAAAAATCAAAGAATCTCCCAACTAGACACACCACGCACTTGTGGCATGATATGTATCCACACAACCAACATAATCAGGTTCCGAGAAAGCCGAGGCACTATATTTCATATTTCCCTCCCCGAACTCATATTAAGCTCCATGGGTGTAGAATTTGAAACACAGTCAGAATATGTCAAGAAGGTCATCAACATAATTGTGCTGAGAAAGGAGAATACCAGACCCAAAAAGTAAGAGAGAGATCTTAGCTCCTTCAAACTTAAAGAAGCATGAAGACCCTTCATGAGAGTTTCAATCCCCTCGGCATCATCACTACTCACAATAATATCATCTATGTATAGAAGAAGCAAGAAGAGACTAAGGTAAGACTGTCGAGTAAACAAGGAAGGATCATTAAGAGTATGACGGAAATCAAGACCAATAATGGTTGACTGATATTTCTCTTCAAAGTCAATGTCATACTCCTGAGAGAAACCTTGAGCCACCATGAGCCTTATAACATTGCAGAGAACCATCTGACCTAACCTTCATAGTACAAACCCATCGAATATCGATAATAGTAACAGTAGAAGGTGGTTGAGGAACAACAGTCTATGTTTGATTAGCATTAAGGCCCACAAGCTCATCGCACATAGAACATTCCCAATTTAGATCTCTCTGAGCATGAGAGATCCGTGTCGGAACATGAATTGACTCGGTTCTATAGGAGACATAATCCTGGTGATGAATCAAAGGTTAACCAATAGTGGACCTCAAAGATTGTCATAAAGTTGGAGGCCAGTTGATCCCAATAACTAGAGTTGTTGGAGAGGTTCACTCATATAGGCTTGAAGTTTGCACATGTCCGAATACCATGTGCTTAACAGACCAGATGGGGCCACTAGGGTTCGAACAAAAGATCTCTGGATCATAAAAGACTCTGATACCATGTTAAATAATCGAAACATATATGTTATCGAAATGGAAAATCAAAATAGAGGACACAAGATAAGCACAAGGTTTGATGAAACTAACTGTTTCATTGAATTGGTAAAAGCCTTTACAAGAAGCTTACATAGGTTGCAGAGAAAAACTACTTACAGTTACAGAGATGAACAACTAATGTTCACTAAACATTGACTAAACTAACTAGCAATTAAATAGACGAATAAGAGCTGTACAGGTGGCCAATTACAAGTGGATAATGGTGATTATGAGCAGTAAGTAGGACGATCGTATAGACATTACGACGTCATAATGGATTTTTTTAAGGAGCGACTAGTCCTCCAAGTCGAACCCGTTAAACCAAAACCTCTAAATTGGGTCGTACCCAATCGGCCTTCTTCTTCATCTTCAGTTAATCGTCTTCTTACCCTCCTCAAGCCGAGGAGTGTAGATGATTGTAACTCCCATCTTGGCCAGAAGAAAATGAAGATGATGTCAACTCAACACCTTTGTAAATACATATGCAAGTTGAAGCTCAGAGCTTAAATGAGTAACTGTAATAATCTTATCCGGATTGTGTTGTCCAATCACATGGAAATCTACTTCAATATTTTGGTTCTCTCATGAAATGCTAGATTGTACGCAATGTCAATCTTACTCTAACAGTCTACACCAACTTCATTAAATGCATCTAGACCAAAGTCACATAGTTTCCTTAGGCTAATTATGTCATCAGACACTTTTTGCGTACATTAAATCAAATCCATTGGAGTTGGTTGATGTATGTATTATTGATGCAGGAGCTACTGGCCCTATATCTTGTAACTTATCATGCCTTTTGGATTATAAGGTGATAAAGAATATGTTTTTAACTCTGCCTAATAGTTAAACGGCAGAAGCTACTCATATATGCATTGTAAGATTATCTTGTGATCTTATTATCTGCCAAGTTCTTTATGTCCCATCATTTTCATTCAATTTGATCTCAATGAGAAAATTGCTAAAACTCTTCCTGTTACACTTACCTTCAATTCATCCTACTGTAAAATTCAGGAACTTCATACTAAGAGGGGGATTGGCTTGACCCATCAAGTTAGAGATCTTTACCAAATGTCTCAATGCTCACATTTTGTTCTTGTCCCTGATGCCAAAGAAAAGTCACTCACCATTACAACAACCTATTACCTCTCACAATAAAATCTTGACATGTGGCACTAATCAGGACATCCATCATCATTGAGACAAATTATATCCAGAAAAGTAGTCATGTAATTGAGAAATTTGTAGTAGATCATTGTGATACCCGTCACTTTGCTAAGTAGAAGAAACTGCCTTTTGATTTAAGTAACTTAGTAGCTTCATCATCCTTCGATGTAGTCCATGTAGACATTTGGGGACCCCATTATGTAATGAGTTACACTAGATTTTGATACTTTTTACTATTGTGGATGATTGTTGTAGAAGTTTATGGGCTTACTTGATGAAAGCTAAATTAGAATCTAGAAATTTACTAGAAAGTTTATGTATTATGGTGGTTGTGCATTTTGGTCAAAAGGTTAAGACCATCAAGTCAGGCCAAGGCCTTAAGTTTCACAAGGCAGGTTTCTATTCTCAACATGGAATTCTTCATCAAAGATCCTGGGTAGAGATTCCATAGCAGA